AGCACTATGTGCATCAGGGATCAAGGGATGCAAATATCTTCTATGCTCAAGCTATCTGATTGTGTTAATCATGAATACAATACCTTGGGAAATAGTATTTTCCAAACTGCCTCTCAGATAAAGCCCCAGGATAAGGAACATACCTTCAGTTTGCAAAGAGACAAAGAATGTTTGTATTTGGGTTCACAATCAACACTACATAGGAATATTTTAAAAAATAGTTTTTAAAATTTAATGTCAGGAAAATGTTTCTACTATTAGGATTTGTAAAATCTAATTATAAGCTCAATGATAGATATGAGCTCTTTGATACCATGTCTTGTAACTAGAAAGTTTTACTGCATTTTCAAAACTATAAAGCCTTCAAACTTTTGACAACAGGAGTATACAGTAGACTACATAATTTGGAAAGGGGTATGTAGCCTAAATAGTTTGAAAACCACTGGAGAAAGGGTACACAATCACATTTGGGAAAAACACAGCAGCAAAATATATATGCAAATAAAAAATAAAATAGCCCTCCCTTCCCCCCCATTGATGAAAACATCCCACAGGTAATAGTGCTAAGAATGCACCACCTCACCCACCCATAAAACCCCACTCATACTTTGGATCAGTGAGCAGCACCAGTCCAAGTGTCTTTATGCAGATTTGTCTCTAGCCCCAAGAGAGATGCTTGCATGGAGGAACCATCACCTAACCTAGCTGAGTGGTTCATCTTTAGGGGGCTGGGCAGATAGAACTTCACTGAAAACTACTCAGCTCTATTGCTGTCTTCTCTCACTACTAAATCCTCAATCACCACCATCTCTTCCCATAGAAAGGAAGTCAAAATACTCCAGATTTATGAACAAAACCTTAAGTACTTGTAAAGGACCTCTTCAGTCTGGGAGACCACTACCCCTGTTCCCCAAAATCCAAGTTTGTATATAGTTATGGTGACTCCCCAAGTGTCACGAAAGGAGTTGTGGGTAGCTATCTTATGCAAATGAAGATCTCTATGACAGCGCTTTTCCCTTTTCACCAATCAAGGGAGGTGAGTACTCTTTCCTCTCTAAGGCTTCTGTTCATAACAGGGTTTACCGTGTGAGACCTGCAATTAAAATATACCAGCCAGCTCAGGAAAACATCTTCTTTCAGTTCAATTTCACCCTGCACCCTAGCACTCCCTAAACTCAGCACTGTTCAGGGGACACCAGCCCTTCCCAGGGCACTAGGACCCATATGGTGTCCTCTTTTTCTCCAGCCATATGACTTTTGGGAAAGAAACTACAGGGAAGAACCAGCCACAAACTGAACCCAGGAAAACAACTACAGTAACTCCTCACTTAACATCCTAGTTATGTTCTTGAAAAATGCAACTTTAAGAAAAATGATGTTAAGCAAATCCAATTTCACCATAAGAATTAATGTAAATGGGCCGGGGTTAGGTTCCAGGGAAATTCTATTTGCCAGACAAAAGACATTGTATACATGTACAGTACAAGTTTTAAATAATTTTAAACAATTTAATACTGTACTCACCAATGATGATTGTGAAGGTTGGTTGAGACAGGGTTGGTTGAGCAGGGTTGGGGTGCAGGGGCTTGCCCCTGCTCTGCCCACTGTGCGTTCCAGCCAGGGAGTGGGATGGGGAAGCGGGGGCTTGCCTGCTCCCCAGATGGAATGCCAGGCAGGTGGAACAGGGCAAGCCCCCGCTCCCCCACCCCACTCCCTGGCAGGAGTGCTGGGCAGGCAGAACGGGGGGAGCCAAACAACATTATAAGGGAACATTGCAGGACTCTAAAGGAGTATATTCTCTAATATGTCAGGGACCAAACATCGTTAACCGGGACAACGTTAAGTGAGGAGTTACTGTACATAAAACCCATTCAGACAGGACTGATGACCACTGATCATGTCATTGGCCTGTTTTCTCCAGTTTTAACTCTGAACATTGCATCACCTGTGCTTACTGGCTGATTTTGTCAACCTCTCCTGCCCACTCTCTTCCTTCATCTTTTCTGCTAACTAAGCCCCTGCTAATATAATCCCATAGAAAGGATTTAAATAACAAAAGAAAATAAATGTGGACCTACCATGACATTTATAGTCACTATATTGTTCACTGCTTGTGTGTTATATATCTTTTTTTCTGCTTTTTGTCTTTGGGGCAGGAACATCGAGGAGTCCAGTGGCACCTTAAAGACTAACAGATTTATTTAGGCATAAGCTTTCATGGGTAAAAAAAAACCCACTTCCCCTCTGATGCTTTGGGGCAGGATCTGTCTCTTATTCTATATTTGGACAGTCCTAGCACGATGGGGCCCAGTTCTCAGCTGATTACTGTGCTAAATTAAAACAAAAAGTCTGAGCCTGAAAACTTCTAAATCTTCTACAAGTGGCAGGTGGCTTAGGCTCAGCATTACTGAAAAGTACACAGCTGAGGATAAGCTGGTCCCAGAAGGGATCAGAATCTATTCAACATTCTCCACAATGATATCGTGAGACAACAATGCAGCAAACCACCACAGAAAATCTGTAAAGCTGCCACCAAGATCATCCATCTATCCCATTATGAAAAACACTATAGGCTGGTTTTCATTCTTCTGCAGAAGCCACCTTTTGGCAGGAAAATGTCCCAAGTGGTGATTCCTAAATAGTTTAGCTATGTTATTTGGGGAAATCGTGTCCTTCTATCCTATTTATCTCTTCTTCCCTATATCTTTCTCCTTATTGTTCATTATGTTCCAAAAGTCTCAGACTGGAGGAGAAGTCAGAAAACAAAATGGAAAATGTGTTAAAGCTTTATGAATGGCCTCCCATGCAGTTTGCTCCACCTGAGATGCCTTTTAGGGTCTCTTCAGGGTCCAGGGTCCCTGTCACTATGATTGAATAATGAATTATTTTTACATTTATGTTTAAACTATTAATAATTTAGTGCTTCAATGCAACTTTGAAAGCAGCTCCTCTGGAGTGAGGATGAAAGGTGCATGGCTGAACGCCAAGGACAATCTGAGCTGCTTTTGATATTCGTAGGAAAAGAGGAGCAGACCAAACGTCTTGGACTAGGAAAACATTTGGCGATATGTTTTCTAATTTTTGTACTTGCAAACAATGCTCTATGACCATACTTCAGTGATCATCTTTTCCCCTATGTAGTTCCAAGATAGTAGCAATTTGTACAGTTGTTCATGCTCTTTATCCCCACATTCAACTGGATCAGAGCAGGGGTAGTGCCTTTTTTCATCTGGGAATCTCATTTGTGGAAATCTCTCCTTAGATATGTCTGCTAGACTCCTGATGATTGGCTGCAAGACTAGACGCAGGTTCTTTCCATTTGAGTCAGATAATTTTTGACAAATTTTCCTTCTTTTCTCTCCCTCTCCCCTAACATCTCTCATGTTTTGGTTTATCTTTTACTTATTTTGTTTGTTGGTTTGGAGTAATAATTTCTTGGCCATTCTGGATTAATTTTGTGGAAGTTTGTACAGTGTCCAGATTTGTGTTAAAAATCCGTACCTGAATATGTATTGTATTACATTACAATGACGCAAATAGAGTAATAGTTCACATTTTTATACTGCCTTCCATCTGAACATATCAAATTTCGATATGCATATTACTTAAGCTATTACAACATCTATGTGAAGTTTTACATTACAGGGAAACTGAAACACTGCAAGGAGTGACTTGCCAAGTCCCCCAGAAAGTCAGTGGCAGAACCTCCAATTTAACGTATATCATGCAACTCCCACTCTTGTGCTGTAAGCTCTACACTGCAGCAGAGAATTTCCACCCCTATTTCTTATGGACTTAAAGATAGGGTTACATATTACCCAGTTTATAGTTCCTCAAAAATATTATAGCTGTCTTTATGCCACTACTATTACACTGTTCTCCTGAATATAATTTCTGCATCAGTTCTAATGTCATAGTACCAGAGACTGTGCTCTCATCAAGACAAGTTATGCACACATCAAGTTATAACTGTGTTTTTAATTAGTCATTTCCTTAGACTGAAACAGGAAACATGAGAAAAAGGTTTTGCAGCAGTAACTGACTACATTAATTCTTAAATGGAAATTAATGGGAAGAATATAACAAGAATAAAGACATATACCTGAGGATAAAATAATCATTTCCCAATTTCAATTCTGACTTGACTGGAGTGGCCACTATGTTGAGAAACATTACAGGTAGAACCAATATTGCATAACACTTGAATGTGTGTAACTCCCAGTTTTTAAGAAGTATAAAACATTAATCTATAGCTCTAGGATTTCATGTGTACAGTAGGATGGCTAGCAAATAATACAGTAATGGAAGTGTGGGTGGAGGGAAACAGAACAATAATCAGAAAAAAATTATTTTAAAATATGGGTGTCATCTAACTTTTTAGTTAAAATGTTATTAAAAGTTAGCCATACAAAACTCATTCCACCAAAAAACACAATCATTTCCTTTTTCCACATTCAGGAAGAACTACATCAGCCCTCTGGAGTTAGGGAAGGAAGAATATCATATTTAAAAATAATGAAGTCTAAGAGCTTCTCCACTTAACTTCATTAGGTCGTAGGCGCTTCTCTTGAATGTGAAATCAGAAAAGGCTTGTGCTGGCAGCCTGGACCTCTAACAGTCTTTCAGATGTTGGGAGAAGGAATTACAGATTAGGCCATGTCAGGGTTCCTTCCCCACTCTGAACTCTAGGGTACAGATGTGGGGACCCGCATGAAAGACCCCCTAAACTTATTTCTACCAGCTTAGATTAAAAATTCCCCAAGGCACAAAGTCTTTGCCCTCGGATTAGGTAAATGCTGCCACCACCAAGTGATTTAACAAACAATCAGGGAAAGGACCACTTGGAGTTCCTATTTCCCCAAAATATCCCCCCAAGCCCTTACACTCCCTTTCCTGGGGAGGCTTGAGAATAAACAAGATGAGCACAGACCAGCCTTGGATTTTTAAGACCCAAAAAAACCCAATCAGATTCTTAAAAAACAGAACTTTATTAGAAGAACAAAAAAAAGATAAGAGAACAACTCTGTAAGATCAGAATGGAAGTTAATCTTACAGACAGTCGGATTCAAAACATAGAGAATCCCTCTAGGCAAAACCTTAAGGTACAAAAAGACACAAAAACAGGACAAAAACAAATAAACATTTCCTCCAGCACAGCAAATTTTACAAGCCAAAACAAAGAAAACCTAATGCATTTTCTAGCTAGATTACTTACTAACTTTACAGGAGTTGGAGGGCTTGCATCCTTGATCTGTTCCCGGCAAAGGTATCGCACAGACAGACAAAAGCCTTTTCCCCCCCTCCAGATTTGAAAGTATCTTGTCCCCTCATTGGTCATTTTGGGTCAGGTGCCAGGTTACCTGAGCTTCTTAACCCTTTACAGGTAAAAGGATTTTGCCTCTGGCCAGGAGGGATTTTATAGCATGGTAATCAGAAAGGTGGTTACCCTTCCCTTTATATTTATGACAGGCTCAAATATTAACATTACATTTGTGAAATTAAGGAGTTTTTACGTAGTTAACAGTAGCACAGATATTGAGGTGCCTGGACAAAAAAATTCTTGGGAAAGAACAATACAAACGCTTGCAGGATCAGTAAACTTTTCTATGCATGAGGCCTGGACAAATGATCAGATTTTTATTTTTTAAACCCCAGAAAGGAGAGAGAACAGGAGTACTTGTGGCACCTTACAGACTAACAAATTTATTTGAGCATAAGCTTTTGTGGGCTACAGCCCACTTCATCGGATACAAGGAGAGAGTAATGTTGCTTTCTGTCTACAGGAAGAGTGAAGTCCACCTATGGAGAATGCCCTATCAAGGTTCTTTGTGCTATTTAAGATCCCTAACAAGGTCTTGTAAAGAAGTGAAAGATCACAACTAGGGGTTTTCACACTGTGTGTGTGCTACAAAGAGGGGATCTGAATTGTGACAGATATGACAATTTTCTGCCAATATCTTTACAAACTTTATTGAATTAAGTTTAAGTAACTTTGGAATCCTCTGTATTGACTACAAAGTTTATGTATTATTGTAAACTGTAGGAAATGTTATGAACTTCAGACTGGGGGAGACAACAATGGACTTTTGGGACAGACAGTATTGATGGGACAAACCATACTGACGGGTTTTCCTGGGGATTTTTAGAGAGAGGCAGTCTAGCTTGCTGTTGATATCACAGCATAGGCAGGGAAACGCGCAGCCTGGAAAAACCCTGGTTAGGAGGGAGAGAGATGTGCATCTTTTTGCCTGACCTTTAGCTTATGTATTAATTATATTGATTACTTAAGAATCCCCAGTTATCACTTTTAGGGTTGCCAGGTTCTTGCCCCAAGATCAAGGCCAGTATTATTCAAATTATTATATAGTTGGGAACCCCGATGTGTACAGTTACAAGACTCACACTATAGGAACTCTTTTATATTTACAAATATAGTTTAATACATTTAACACAGTCACAAACACCCCAACTTAGTAAAATAGATAGAGATACTACAGAATGTACATCTGCACATCCATATACTCATACCATCTCCTGTAGAACAACCTGAAATGTTAGCCATCATCTTTCTCATCATCATCACTGTAGGGACAGGATTTTATAACTGTACTATAAAAATTGATGTAAACTTTGAATTAATTCTGCCAGCCACCCTTTCTGAATAACAGAAAGGAATGAGACTGGGATCTTGTTTCCTATATGCATTATAAACTTCCCTCTAGTCATTTCTTTGGTTTAAGGTTTAGTGAGTAAAAGACAGGTTTCAGAGTAACAGCCGTGTTAGCCCAACTTGATTATCATACACATTGTAAGGAGAGTGATCACTTTAGATAAGCTATTGCCAGCAGGAGAGTGGGGTGGGGGGAGGTATTTTTTCATGCTTTGTGTGTATAAAAGATCTTCTACACTTTCCACAGTATGCATCCGATGAAGTGAGCTGTAGCTCACGAAAGCTTATGCTCAAATAAATTGGTTAGTCTCTAAGGTGCCACAAGTACTCCTTTTCTTTTTGAGTAAAAGACAGGATCTTGTATTGTGTCTGTGTTAATTAGATTAAACGAATGTTAAAGGCCTGAGCCACAATGTAAACTGCTGGAAATGGCCCACCTTGATTATCACTACAAAAGGTTTTTTTTTCTCTCCTGATAATAGCTAGTAATAGCTCACCTTACCTGATCACTCTCCTTACAGTGTGTATGGTAACACCCATTGTTTCATGTTCTCTGTGTATATAAAATCTCCCTACTGTATTTTCCACTGCATGCATCCGATGAAGTGAGCTGTAGCTCACGAAAGTTTATGCTCAAATAAATTCTCTAAAGTCTCTAAGGTGCCACAAGTACTCCTTTTCTTTTTGCCGATACAGACTAACACGGCTGCTACTCTGAAAAATGTAAACTGTTTTGACCACAAGATTTAAGTGAAGTTTAATTTACAATGTATTCTACTGTATAAAATACTGCTGTCTTCTCTGTGAGAGATTGTTTGTGTGAATGAGGAATGCATGCATCAGGAAAAGATAAGGTGTGAAACCCATCACAAATGTCCAGATCGTCAAGAAAAGTGAGAGACTTGGAAACACCAGGAGACAATCAGAAAACATCCATTGTATCCGATGCTAAACATGTTAGCAGCATTGATGGCCTCAGAGGTGAAGCAACCGCCCCGGAAGGCAAGGCAACAAATAGGAGATAATGATGGGAAGTCTGACAATAACCATCAAATGATAGGTTTCAGAGTAGCAGCTGTGTTAGTCTGTATTCGCAAAAAGAAAAGGAGTAATTGTGGCACCTTAGGGACTAACAAGTTTATTTGAGCATAAGCTTTCGCTACAGCTCACTTCATTGGATGCTCAAATAAATTTGTTAGTCTCTAAAGTGCCACAAGTATTCCTCTTCTTTTCATCAAATGATAACAGTGGAAAACCCCAAGATTACTACCACTTAAGGACTAATGATTACAGGATGACATTGCAAAATTGATGGACTCAAATGGGAATTTACAAGTATAAAGCTGGAGTGTTTTGCCATGAAACTCTGGGTTCAGTCCTGCCAAAACCTCGGAGCATCGGATCGCGATTGACAGAGCCCAGCTCCTCACTCGTGTTCAATCTAACTGGCCATTAGATTGACTCGAGCTACAACAGACTGGTAACTATAAAAACATCAACTGGCAGGACTGTTTGCATGATGTGTACGTGTGTGTGACTGAAAAGCATATGCTAACTTTTGTATTCTCAATGAATACGGCATATTTGCCTTCTCTCTTATAAAAGATCCTGTGTGCTTCTTATAAGTATCACATCACCTTCCCCATCATCACCAGGGGCCATCATTCTGGCACCTCCCAAGGACTACATCTTTCTCTCTCTTCTGCCCCTAGGCTGGGATGCCACTTTTATAATATGTTACGTTGATGCCGCTATGTTTGATGCATTGTTGTAAGGGATTTTCCCCTTCCTTATTTGTATTTCCTCACCTTACTAACGTTGGAGTGTCTTTTTTCTATAGCTTAGTATATCAGTGATCTCAACTTATTATCACATGCATCAATTTGATACCATGGCCCTTTTGTGATTAGGTATCACATTTGTTATTTCTGTCCTAACTGGCTATTTTGGTTCTTTCCAAGTTCCAAATTGTGATGTACCTGTTTAGTTTAAAAGGGTATGACCTTAGGAAAGCCCTTATGCCAACCTGCTTTAATGCATCCTCTATGTTAAAGGTCACAGCCATACATGGACCTTATGCTTTAGCTTATCACCATCTATCTAGGTCAGGGGCTCTCAAACTGGGGGTCAGGACCCCTCAGGGTGTCACGAGGTTATTACATGGGGGGTCGCAAGCTGTCAGCCTCCCTCCCCCAAACCCCGTTTTGCCTACAGCATTTATAATGGTGTTAAATATATTTAAAAGTGTTTTTAATTTATAAGGGGGGTCACACTCAGAGGCTTGCTATGTGAAAGGGGTCACCAGTACAAAAGTTTGAGAACCACTGATGTAGGTGAAAGGTCCTAAACTTATGTATGCTAACTTTGTCTTAGCTCAACATATAGGATGTGGCCTGCAGGTCCCTTGTGTTACAGCCAAAATATACTCTAATGTAAAGCTATAATAATAAAACAAATAATCAAACCCATAAGAAAATAAGAAACTTATAAGAAAAGATATATAGGCGAGCAAGCAGGCTAGACTTAGACGTATTTCATGTACCTGTTATGTACGTCAGTTCTTTGCCAGGACACTTCTGTGGTTGACTCATGTACCTGTGGTCAGAACTTCCCCTTAAACTCTATTTTCAGCTCCCCAAATACTTTGGGTTTTCCGTTGGGCCGTTTATCTATGCAAAGCTTATCTGTTCAAGGTTCATAGGCCTCAAGCCTTATGCTAACTTGCTAAAGCTAATGTCTTTTACAGGATACAGGCCTGTAGGTTTCTTGCATTACTGCTGAATATAATGCAAAGCAGATTTGTTGTAATTCAGCAGGGAAAATGTTTGTTTGCACACACAGCCGAACAAAACAAGGATTTTCTGTGACACCTTGCAGATATTTGGGAACTTTGTTTCACTCAAGGGGACATAAAACTCATACAGTTTTTCTCAATTGTTCTTTTCCTTCAAGTTGAAATTGCATTGGAGATCAATGAGCTCCACCTGTAATTCTTGCGTTGGTCCCTCGTAGTCAAATGACAGTGGGCATGATACCAGCTCCAGCATCTTCTCTATCTTCTCAAAGTCAGAGAATCAACAAGAAAATTCTCCGTGCAAGTCACTCAATATTTTGCTGTACTTTTCTGTCTGCTCCGGCGAAACTTCCAAGTATTTCAGTGTTGGAAAGTGAGCGAACACTTTGTCCTTAATTTGTTTTGAAAACAAGACTAACTTGACTTTGAAAACTGTCACACTAGAATACAATTCATGTACAAACACATTCTTTCCTTGCCGTTTCACATTAAGTTCATTTAAATGTGCCAAGAGATCCCCACCAAAAGCAAGGTCGCACACCCAGTTTGAATTCTTTAATTCAGGGAAATCATTTTCTTTCCCCTGCATCTCCAGAAAAATGCGACTTTCATCTCTGAACTCCCAAATTGCTGCAATTCCTTTCCTAGGCTGAGCCAGTGGACATTTGTATGATAAACTGGTTAGTCTCTAAGGTGCCACAAGTACTCCTTTTCTTTGTATGATAAAGTAAGTCCTGGTGTTCGGCATCAGTGTCTTCAAGAAGGGAAATGAATTGCCAATGATTAAGTCCCCTCGCTCTTATGTAATTCACTATTTTCACTATTGTGTGAACAACATGATCGATGTCCAGGACATTTTTGCAGAGGCCCTCCTGATGTATATAATACAATGCAGAAAAATCACCTCTTTATCAGGGTCATCTTCTTTTACTTTGTCCTGAATTCTTTTTAAAAGTCCTACGTTTTTCCCAATTAAATTTGGCGATCCATCTGTGGTTACGTTTGTCAGTTTACTCCAGGGGAGCTTCAGATGTTCAAGGCAGCCAGACACCCTCTCATATAAATCCGATCCCTTAGTTGTGCCTTTCATTGATTCCATTGATAAAAATTCCTCTGTGATTTCAAATTTGTCATCAATTCTTCTGACAAAAAAATCAATAATTGTGCTGTGTCCTTAATGTCAGTGCTGTCATTGAGAGCTAACGAAAACAACGTAAAGCCCTGGGCTTTCTTGTTCAACTCAGAAGCCAAATATTCATCAATCACTTCTACACAGCGAGTAACAATTGTCTGTGACAAACTAATGTTCTCAAATTTGTTTTGGTAGTCCAGTCATAGCATGCCAGCAACATCAACCATGCATTCTTTCAGCAAAAGGCTTATTTTGTTTAGTGATTTCAAACGCCAGAACATAACTTGCCTTTGAGGTGGCTTCCTGAACTGTACCCTGTTGCACAAATATTTAGCTGAGCTTTTAAGTTCGTGGCAAGTTTCTCTGCTTTTCTTGCCCATTGCTCAGTTGTTAAATTGCTGCCATTATTAGGATGTTTTGTTGAAAAATGGCAATTCAAACTTGAACACTGCGATGCTCCTTGAACACTGCGATGCTCGCCTGACAAATCAGGCATACAGCCTTCGAGTTCATGTTTGTAAAAAAATATTTTGCATTCCATTCTTTGTTGAAAATCTGACACTCACTGTCCACTTTTCTTTTTCTTTTCTTCTTTTTTTCTTGCAGCATTCATTTTTGAAAGGGAAAAGAAAATCCTCACTGCTGCCCTTATTTCAAACTGCTGTTTTACAAGATTGCATGCACTTCACGCAGGGCCTCATTTTCAAAAGAGCATGGGACTGATGTAGCCAGCATCGCAAGATATTTACGTGCCAGATGCACTAAAGATTCATATGTCCCTTCATGCTTCAACCACCATTCTAGGAGACATGTGTCCATGCTGATGATGGGTTCTGTTCAATAACAATCCAAAGCAGTGCAGACCAGCAGATGTTCATTTTCATTATCTGAGTCAGATCCCACCAGCAGAAGGTTGATTTTCTTTTTTGGTGTTTCAGGATCTGTAGTTTCTGCATCGGAGTGTTGCTCTTCTAAGACTTCTGAAAGCATGCTCCACACCTTGTCCCTCTCAGATTTTGGAAGGCACTTCAGATTCTTAAACCCTGGGTCGAGTGCTGTAGCTATCTTTAGAAATCTCACATTGGTACCTTCTTTGTGTTTTGTGAAATCTGCAGTGAAAGTATTCTTAAAATGAACAACATATGCCAGGTCATCATCCGAAACTGTTATGACATAAACTATATGGCAGAATGTGGGTAAAACAGAGCAGGGGACATACAATTCTCCCCCCAAGGAGTTCAGTCACAAATGTAATTAACGCATTATTTTTTTAACAAGTGTCATCGGCATGGAAGCATGTCCTCTGGAATGGTGGCTGACATATGAAGGGACATACAAATGTTTAGCATATCTGGCACGTAAATACCTTGTAATACTAGCTACAAAAGTGTCATGCAAATGCCTGTTCTCACTTTCTGGTGACACTGTAAATAAGAAGAGAGCAGCATTATCTCCTGTAAATGTAAACAAACTTGTTTGTCTTAGCGACTGGCTGAACAAGAAGTAGGACTGAGTAGACTTGCAGGCTCTGAAGTTTTACATTGTTTTGGTTTTGCACGTAGCTATGAAACAAAAAAACCCCTACATTTGTAAATTGCACTTTCACAGTAAAGAAATTGCACTACAGTACTTGTATGAGGTGAATTGAAAAATACTATTTCTTTTGTTTATCATTTTACAGTGCAAATATTTGTAATAAAAAATAATATACACTTTGATTTTCAATTACAACACAGAATACAATATATATGAAAATGTAGAAAAACATCCAAAATAGTTAATGTATTTCAATTGGTATTCTATTGTTTAACAATGCGATTAAAACTGCAATTAATTGCAATTAATTTTTTGGAGTTAATCGCGTGAGTTAACTGTGACTAATCAACAGCTCTACTTTAAATCCTTCTGTAAGACTTGCCTCTGCTATGATGTTTACAAAATCCAGCTTTCATATCGAGGCAGGTGACAAGCTGTGACTGTTCTCCTTTCCCACTTTCCTTGTCCTATTCTCTTCCTCACTACCAGTACTTCACTTAAAAAAAATTCACATAGCTAACAAAGCTATGCCTGTACTTCACCAGATTCATTTGTTCCTATGTTGTCTCCACATGTCCTATCCTTTGTCTGTGTATGTTTTTAGACTGAAAACCTTGCAAAGCAGGGATTGTCTCTTTTCTGTTTCTACAGCACCAAGTGGTGCCCCCAATCCCAAGTAGGCCTTTGGTCACTACCATAGTATAAATATTAATGATAATAAAAACCTACCTTGACTGGCTCCTTCTGAACTTTGATGGATCCATCATAGTATAGGAACTTTGCAGGTAGGGCATTACACCTCATCGTATGATAATCAGTTCTCTGTATGTTTAAAAAGAATGATTTTGATTATTTTCATTTTGAGTACAAAGTATATTCATTCATTTTGAGTCAAAGTACAAACACAATGGGCACATATTGTTCCAAGACAATGTGCTTAGGTTCACAACAGACTTCAGAATCTTTGCATCACCTGACTTAGCTTCCTAGTTGCTGCCCATCCTCTCCATTTGTGGACAATATTCTGCCAGAGAACTAGATTTGCATTCTTTAGAAGCAGATCACTTTCCCTGCTACTGCACAGTATCTGTACTATGTACACCACTCTCAGTCCTCCAAGACTCAAGGCTTGTCTTCACTGCAGTGTGAAGTCGAGATATAACTCAGGTGTGTTACCTCAACCAACTCCGGAGCTAACACAGTAGTGAAAGCAAGCCTCAAATAGAGACATACACCTTCCAAAGACAAGACAAGATTAATAATATCCACAGCAGAGTTAACTCCTGTTGAGTTAGCCTAGCTTGAGTGAAAACACTTGACATTATGAAAAAAACAAACAAACAAAAAAAAAACCCAACCAAAAACAAAACCAACAACAAAAAAACCACTAAACCACTACACACCAAAAGAAACCCACTCAAGCTGCACAGAGTGATTGTACCAGCAGCCCAGGGTGTTTGTATTTGTAGTGGAGTCCGGACTGCATCTCTAGCTCCAGCATCAGTCTTACTTGAGCTTCAGCCCATGCCACTTGATAGGTCAGCTACCTCAACTGTGACTGACAGAAACGTGTTTTTATCTTGTGATAGGTCATGCGCCTTAACCTATCCCATTGTAAAAACACAGAGGAGACAGGGCACTCTCACTTTATTGCCAGGTGAACTAGGTGAGGTCAACCCCTGGCTGGGATCTAGTGTTGACCTCGCCTAGGTTCCTCAGGGTAAAATACAAGGGCCTCTGTCACCACTTAGGATTTTACAGTGCGATAACTATCACGCCTTCCTTATCTGGCTGTAAAAAACATCACCTTTGGGTCTGTGAAGCCAAAGCCCTTAAAGCACCACTTACCTGGAGCCAGCGCTTTCCCTGCAGGGAGAGTTTGGTTAGAGGCAACCTTGGTGTCATACACCTCAAGCTAACCGGCCGTGCACACAGATATACATGAGTATCACAGCAACACGTCATGCCTGCACAGCATCGTGTGTGCACATATGGATCCCCCAGCCCCGCAAAGCGTGTTAGCACCATTTCAGGGGCTGGGAAATCAGCCCCTGACCGGCCAGGATAGGCGGGTGCTTTGCTGCTGACGCAGGCCAAGCGTTTCGCACACACTGGGGGGGCTTCTTGCATCCCTCCAACCTCCCCTGCCCCATGGCCATCCTCTGTTTCAGGGACTCTCTGCAGCCCCCGCGCCCGCGGCTCTGTATGACCCCCATTATTTCCCACCCCAGACACGCGGCGAGGAGGACACGCCGGGCCCGCAGAAGCGGGGCTTGGCAAGGCGGTGGATAGGGAAGCAGCCAGCAGCCGGGGGAGGCTAGGACGTAGTATTGGGGGGGCGGCACGAGGGAGCGGTGTCTGGGGGAGGGGCGATGCGGGGGCTCCCCTCTGCCCCCCGCCCCCTACCCGAGGAGGGTGACATGCTGACAGACCCGGCCTCCCCCGGGGCGGGCAACGCTCGCGCGCGGCCACCCCCGCCCCCGCCAACTACCTAACGGTCCTCCTTCACTAGGCTCCCGCCGCCGCTACGTCACTTCTTGCCCCGCCCCGTGGGGCCCCGAATATTATCTGCAAACACCGTTATTTAATCCTTTAAAATCTTTGTAAATATTCGTAGAGCACAAAGGGGGGGGGGGTCAGTAAAAACGGGTTGAGCTAGGGGTGGGGGTGAGGCCATCAGCCCCCGGCCAATCAGCAGCAGTGGGGGCGTAGCCGGCGAGACACCTTCTCGCTATATAAAGGGGGAGCGGCGCCGCCGCCAAGCTCCGTCCGCGTGCCAGTCGAGTCAGCCAAGGAGGCGTCCGGGCGGGCGCGGCGCGGCGCGGCAGCGATGGGGAACGCGGTAGCTCGGGAGGACTTCGAGTGGGTTTATACGGACCAGCCCCACGCCGATCGCCGCAAAGCGATCCTAGGTGAGCGAGGGGCCCAGGCAGCTTCCCCTCAGCGCCGGGGCGTCCTGCTGGCGGCGCGTCTCCCCCCAGCCGGCTCGCTGTCAGAGCCGGAGGTGCCCTGGGCTCTACCCGTTTCGGCGGCGGGGGGAAGGGCCTGATGCCTCCCCACAGGGAGCCGGTCGCCTCCAGGCTCGCCGTATCCGCTGGCAGCCGGACCCGCTTGTCGCCCTGCGCGCACGGGAGGGGTGCTGCCTGCGGGACGGAGCGGCCCAGTCGAGGGCAGGTGGCGTGTGTGGAGGCCTCGTGGGTGTCCCCAGCGCCGAGAGGGCCCGTTTCGGGGGTGGCGAGCCTGGTAAAATGGCTGCCGAGGAAGGGGGGCAGGCGGGTGACAAACGGGTCGGCCCCTTGAGCCAGGCTCGGAGGCCGAGCTCTTCAGGCGCCTCGAAGGGCCCACCCCATCCGTGACCGCTAGACACCGCTCCTCCCTCCGGCCGGCCTGGGGTGGGGGCGGGCAGCGCGGTTACCGCCAGGACTTCTCTCTCCCCCCCAGCCCTGCTGAGAGGGGGGGCGAGACGCCTCGCTCGGCGGCCCGCGAGCAGAGCCCCGGAATGAGGCGTTTCTGGACTGTCCAGAGGCCGGAGTCAACCCTGCAGATCCGCCCTCCTGGCCAGCGGCTCTGCACGCGCACGGGGAGGCTCCTCGCCCTCGGAGTCACTTTGGGCTGTCTTCCGCTCAGCTGATTTGGGGGAGGGGATTGTCCTGTGGTCAGACACTCCTCAAATTGTCATGCCCCTCTCAAGTGCACTCGGTGCGGTCGTTAGCCTCTTTCTAGGTAACGAGCTGGAGGGAGGACGGGTGGGTTGGCTTCCGGTAACGTCTCCGGAATATTTCTTAAAACTGATGGCCTGGGAAATGGTACACTTATACACACCTGAAGGAGAGGAGGAGGAAAAGCTCTAAGAAGAGTTTTGTATTTTGATCTTGCTGGCAGAACAACTGTTTGAGATGGAAATCGTGAAGCAGGCCGCATTTTCATGATGTGTACTGTTGGGCTGTGTAGTACAGTGATGGATGTGGTCAGTTATATACGAAACTGACAGTGCTTGTAGGGTGGTGGGAAGGGAAATGGTGACTACACTACGGTGTTTGCAAAAAGCAGACCTTGCCCCACCCCTGAAGTAGAGGGGCGGACATGAAGAACTACTTAGGGAGAAGTCCACAGGAGACTTAAATAGGACTTCTGATCAGTTGTGACCGGATGAACACTTCCCTTTTTTTTAAATTGGGGTGTTTTTTCAGTTAACACTGGCAATGAGCCCTTGTATCCGAGTGCTTGTCTACATAGCAGTAATGCAGACAACTGGGGTGTGATTTCTAAAGTGCACTAGTGTGCTGTGCATTAGTTTGTCCATGCGGACCCTGCTGGTGTGCATTAAAGGTTCCTTCCTGTGTGAATGTAGTGGTCGTTGAAGCAGTGCTACATTAAAGTGCACTAGGGAATATTACAGAAACATTACTTGTTAGTGTGTGTGATTTTTTTGGCCATCTACATAGAACTCAAATTGCTAAAAAGAAACACTACATATAAATTATGGTGGTTCTGCCTCTAACTGATGGGTGGGGATTGGTTTCACTTTAATTTCATTTTCTTGAGGCTGGGAAACACTACTATACCAAATGCAGAGGTTACTTTTTAAACCCTAAAGTGAGCATTAACACCCTGAAGTGTACAAAATAGTCAGTACTCTGACTAGTTTGCGACTAGCTTTATAATGACAGTGGTCCAGATTTGCCTAAATTTAAGTGTAGCTTGCACCTCTGCACAACCAAGTCATCCCAAGAGTGGGATGTGGAGGAAGAGCAGTTTTATTAGCTGAGGTTGTCTGTTCTGGGAAGGTAATACTAAGCCTCAGGAAGTTGTATCAAGTTTTCGACCATGCTGTCTCCTTGTCCATGACCACTTAAGGTTAGGGCCTTTTGCAATTTGGGTTGTCTGCCTTGTTTTGCTACAGCTTCCCAAGCCATCTTCCCTGGCTGTACCTATGGTAAAAGCTGGTATAGAGCCTGAAATATAATTATCTGGCAGCTGTGATGTATACAACTCTAGCAAGGACTATAAATCTTTGGTGGGTTGTGTAACAAATGCTGCTTGTACACTCTTGGTCTTAAAGGCATATTAATGCAACTAACAGTACTTTCAGAAGCTTAATTACTGAAGTAAAAATGACAGTTCATAAATAGGAATCTTTACATGTCTGCCCAAGTTGAGTCTGAAGTTGCTTATCTTTAATTTTCTCATCCCTAAAAAGGGTGTAATATGTGCCTCAGGTGTAGGATTACTTTTAACTCTGTAACAAACAGTGGAATTGCATGCTAAGTATTAAGAGGCTTTGGGTTTCTAGATGAAAATAACACCAAGTACCACTAAACTACAGCAGCACTCTTTGATCTTGCTCAATATTTCAGGGATACACATGCCTACAGCATTTAAACAATTCCCAACATGTACATGCAAACTACTAATGTAATTGAATTTCCAAAAATGTAGGAAGATTTGAGTTGAGTGGACTTATTCCTTAATGAATGGAATCCATTTTGGGGGGGAAGAGAGGTGTACTAGTAAGCTGTTTGTGTGGCTGAGAGAACTTTGGCTCTACTAAAGAGTACTTGTGACATTTTTCTTTGCATGTAACTGTTTATCTTCTCCCCATAACAGCTAAACATCCAGAAATAAAAGCTTTAATGAAGCCAGACTACAACTTGATCTGGGTGGTTGTACTGATGGTTCTTGGGCAGTTGATTGCATTTTATCTAGTTAAAGACTTGGACTGGAAATGGGTTATGTTCTGGGCGTACGTTTTTGGCAGCTGCATCAGTCACTCAATGACTCTGGCTATTCATGAGATCTCTCACAATAGTGCCTTTGGCAACTGCAGAGCTATGTGGAATCGGTGGTTTGGAATATTTGCCAATCTCCCTCTTGGCCTCCCATACTCTATATCTTTCAAGAGATACCACATGGATCATCATCGCTATCTAGGAGGTGATGGAATTGATGTGGACATTCCTACTGACTTTGAAGGCTGGTTTTTCTGTACTCGTTTTAGGAAGTTCATATGGATTGTTCTTCAGCCCTTTTTCTATGCTATTCGACCTCTCTGCATTAATCCCAAACCAATTTCTCGATTGGAAATCATCAACTTGTTGGCTCAGCTCTCTTTTGATGTTGTAATATACTACTACTTGGGAATTAAATCCGCCTTCTACATGCTTGCAGGATCAATACTTGGACTGGGATTGCACCCAATTTCAGGACACTTCATAGCTGAACATTATATGTTCTTAAAGGGACATGAGACTTACTCCTATTATGGGCCACTTAATTTGCTCACTTTTAATGTTGGCTACCACAATGAACACCATGACTTTCCCAATATTCCTGGCAAGAACCTTCCATTGGTAAGTACACTTTCAAGAATATATAAAGCTAATGGTAAACTGAAGCTTACTTCAGTGCTTGTTTTAGTTTAGGGGTTGGCAAACTTTTTGGCCCGAGGGCCACATCTGGGTATAGAAATTGTCTGGCGGACCATGAATGCTCACAAAATTGCGGTTGAGGGGCGGGGATTGCTGGCTCTGGGCCTGGGCCAGAAATGAGGAGTTCAGGGTGCAGGAGGGGGCTCTGGGCTGGGGAAGGGGGGGGTGAGGGCTCCAGCAGGGGGTACAGGAAGGGGCTCTGGGCTGGGACTGAGGGGTTCAGAGAGCAGGAGGGGGGATTAGGGCAGGGGGTTGGGGCACATTTCCCTTTTGCCTGGCCACATCTCCACCTAGGATTCAGAGCTTTGTGCCTTGCCCTGTCTGCTGGCACTGCCCCTGCAGCTCCCATTGGCCACAGTTCCCAGACAATGGGAGCTGCAGGGGTAGGGCAGTGTGCAGAGCAGAGCCCCCTGGCTACCCTTATGAATAGGAGCCAGAGGGGGGGGGCATGCCACTGCTTCCAGGAGCTGCACAAAGCCACCGACCCTGCTCCCTGGCTGGAGGGGGGCAAGCCTGAGACCCCGCTCCCCAGTGGGAGCTTGAGGGCTGGATTAAAACAGCTAGCAGGCCTGATCTGGGCTGTAGTTTGCCTGCCCCTGTTTTAGTTAAATTTTTGGTTGAAGTAGGACACTTAAAGTAGCAGTACCTTAAGTATCCACTAGAGACTTAAAACTACATTATGTGAAATAATTCTGTTATAGCAATCTTAAGTGTTACTTCTAATTGTCCTTCCCCCCCCATCCAGCCTTGCAGTCTGTTTTTCTATTTACTGGGTAGTACTTGATAGCACCTTGCATACTTGGTTTTTTGTAATAATTCAGTTTCTCACCTTTTGGTTTCTCTTTCCCACACAGCAGTAGAAAAACACTCACTATAAAACAAAAATGGGAGGAAACAGTGAAACTACATTCTTTAAAAAAAGACTGCATTTTAGTTTGAGCATTTCTCTTAAATAAAAGCTTGCATAGCTAGCCTGATCCCTTCTGCTTACATAGGGATGCTTCTCTTGACTATTTTTAGCAAACTGATTAACAGCTTCATGTTAACAAGCAAAAACTAAATGTTTACCCTCAGACTAACATTGGGGGAGTTCTGAAATTCTTGATGGATCATCCTACCACAAACATTAAGTAAAGCTTTTTTTATATCTGCATGCCAATTTAACTGCACCTGTACTGCCACAAATGCAGTACTCTGGCCACATCTCAACTGAGAGTTTTTTCACTAGTTCCCAACTGGTATAGTTTCCTCTGATGAAGCTGCAATGGAGACAGTATTGGTTTATTGTCAACATTACTACCTCCACATGTGGAGATGCAGCTGTTTAGCAATTTTAAGACTTAATTCCTATGTCTTAATTCCTATGCCTATTCCTTTAATTCCTATTCCTATGTCCTACAATGGAATCTGAGAAATCCTTCAAGTAACCATTATACATAAGTCTGTCTTCAATCATGTCACATAATTTCTTCAGAATTTAACATTCCTAAAGGTTGTTGCAGTTCAAAAAATAGCAAGTAGTAAAGTTGCATAACATTAATGCCCTTTGGAATACTTAATGCAAACCACACTGTGGGGGAACAACTGACCTTTCTGCAGGTTTTGAACTGGGAATATTTATTCTGCCTCTCCCTGTGGAATCATTAATGATGGCATCTTAATGGATTTCTACTCTGAGAAGACTAGTTAGAAGATCTGTGTATCAACGTTCTAAATTCAGTGCCCAGAAAGCACTGATAGTCTCAGATGCATCTGAAGTTCCTAGGCTGCTTGCTGTACTGTATTGATAAGTACCGGGAAAAGGTACTTGGTCAATAAGTGTCACAGGTTGCCCTGACTATTAGTCTTCCATTTCAGAGTAGTTCATCAGCTGTTACTGCACCACTATATCTGCCCTGACTGATTATAATCAGGGGCTTCAAATGCTCATGCCAGACCAGTTGTCTCAATCTCAGACCCAAATTTTCAGGCTTTTTCTCTCCTCTCTTCCCTACCCACATCCCCATTTCAGCTCTGTGCCAACTGCTTGATTGTTTCCAATTCAGAACCCAGTCGGCTTCAATACTTTGGTCCCCTTGCTTTTAAGCCCCTTCTGTGTATAAACTCCTTGGACCACTGTTGCGTGAACGTTTGTTTTTTATATACCAAGTGTTACACCACTCAGTTCTAGTTCACACGCTACCACCTTCCTGAATGACTTAAGTTACACCAACCTAACACCAGTGTGGACAGCACTGTCTCCTGCTGATGCTACTGCTGCTCGTGGGAGCTGGAGTGATTAAGTTGATGGGAGACCTCTCTCTCCCATCTGCTTACTGTCTGTACTAGCAGTGGTGCAGCTGTGCCACTGTAAGCTCTGTAGTGTAGCCGTAGCCTCATTCAGATGAACAAAAGCAGACCAGTGGCACTTCTTTGGGGGGAGGGGGAAGAGTAACACACTCTGGACAAAGAAAGAACCATGATGGGCTGAATATCCCATGTAGATCCCACCTCTGTTAGTTTAGGAGTACCTAAAAAGGCTTTGCCTGTAATCAGATATTAAGCAAGCAGCTGGCTTGGGCATTAAAACAGCTTTGCCTTCTCCCAACAATGCGTGTTAAAACTTTGATAGCTCTACATTGGGTGAATACAATTTACTAAAAAAAACCCCACAGGTTTATTAAAAATCCATTTCATTTTAAATTTGAAACTGACAACCTATAAGGTCTAAATTTATAATCAGCTAATGCTGCTAAAAGTAAATTTCTTAGCACTCCCAGTTGTTCGAAGACTCTCTTCTGCTTCTAGAAATACTGGCAGAAACACTGGAGGGGAAGAAGTCTTGAGCTTAAATATGAATAAACCTTAATTTTTTCCTCTTAGGTGAAGAAAATAGCAGCTGAATACTATGATCATCTTCCACAATATAACTCCTGGATAAAAGTGCTTTATGACTTTGTGATGGATGACTCAATCAGCCCTTACTCACGCATGAAAAGGAAATTAAAGGGTGATGTGAAACAGGATTAAACTTCTGCCAACCAAAAGACTCTGCAAAGCAAGATCTGGGATATTTTCAAGTAGCTGGTACAAGGAATTCTTGCTAAAGAAGCTTATTTGTATCCTGAATTACTAAATTTCAGACATCTACAAGAATGCATTAGTGTATCCTAAAACAGACCTCTTCAGACTAATTAGACTACCATTCTAATTAGACATTAGCCTAAACATTCTAACAGTCATTAGTGTAATATACAAAACACATGATTTAATATGCTCAATCTATGTGTAAAATAGTATAAGTTTGTTTTAGAATATGTATTTCACAGCTGCTAACAAATCTTGTACTCAAACACCTGTTTCTGGCTTGTCTAGACCTATAAAAGATACTTCAAAATATTTACACTTCTGGCTTGTCCTATGCTGCCCATTCCATGCTCATAACTTAGTCAATTATGGTATTAAAGTTCATACTTGATAAGCTTAATTCTAAGCTAACATTAACTTAAGTCTTGTTTCATTAAATGTGATTTCAACTTATTTCTGTCTCAACTTCTTGGGGGTGGGCAGTAGGGGAGAAAATAACCATCTAAACCGCAGTTAGTCAGTGAGTGAATCTGCCTTGTTGGCTCATTCACTGCTGAACTAAAGCAGTGGCAGATCCAGGTTTTATCAGTAATGACAACTGTACTACCACTAGTATTGAAAACTAATTCAGGAGGCTGAGTACCAGGGGGTAGCTGGGTTAGTCTGTATCCACAAAAACAACAGGAAGGCCCGTGGCATCTTAAAGACTAACAGATTTGTTTGGGCAGAAGCTTTTGTGGGCTAGAACCCACTTCATCAAATGTGTGGAGTGAAAATTACAGATGCAGGCATTATACTGACACATGAAGAAAAGGGAGTTACCTCACAAGTAGAGACACTGCCAATGATGGTGCTGCCCCCACTTACCATAAAAAAAAAAATTAAATTCCCAAGCTGCCTCTAGCTAGCTGGGACCCAGTCGTGGATTGCTAAAATCAGGTAGCCTGGACTTAACCCTACCCCTTCCAAAGAGGGATCCTTATGTCATTAGCATTTCCCATTGGTTAGTGTAGGTGCTCCCTGCCTAGTGTACTTGTTTCTGTGGATCCTATTCTAAGATGCCTCTCTTCCCCATTCATTGGGTAGGCAGCCTGCAGGCCTAATTCAGCTTTGGCAATTGGTGTTCCTGAGATTGTTCAGGCATCTGACATTAGCTGCTCTGATGCTCTGCATTGCAATGCCTGAGTCTCTTCATAGATCCCACCCTTAGGGCTGCCCTTATGATTGACAGATTTTATGACATACTTATTCCATCTAGAAAATGTAATTACTTCAGATAATTAGGAAAAATATCACCTGAGGTATACAGATGACTAGGTGCCTCCTGAACAGGGAAATATAGCTATTGTAACCAGTTTTTCATAGAATATCAAGGTTGTAAGGGACCTCAGGAGGTCATCTAGTCCAACCCCCTGCTCAAAGCAGGACCAATCCTCAATTTTTGCCCTGATCCCTACATGACCCCCTCAAGGATTGAACTCACAACCCTGGGTTTAGCAGGTCAATGCACAAACCACTGAGCTATCCCTCATTTGTGCACATTTAATGATGATAAAATAAAGAATTAAAAACTAAACTGCATTAATACAAAAACCTTTCCCATATATTGTAGGTTAGTATCTACTTAGAAATATGTCTGGAGAACAGGAAGTGGGCTCTGTAAATTTCTGCATCTTCTAATCCTGCCTCTCTCCTTTTCACTGCCATCTCTCTTTAAAAAAAATGCAGATACCTTAGATATGTTCTGTGAAGAATAATTGATATAAAAACAGAAAATTATGCTGATGCCCCTTCTGCCATTTTAGAGTGATTGTTTATAGGGCCAGATTTCTAAAGGCACCAAGAGGGCTTTTTCAAAAGTGCCTAGTTGCACCTTTAAAAATCTGACCCAAAACAGCAGTCCCAAACTTGCATGTCTGTCATCAATTGCCTCCATTAAGTGGTGGTCTTTACAACAGAGGCTGAAAAACCATTTTGGCCTGTGTTTCCATTCTTTTGCCCTTCTCAAGCCACTTTAAAAGGGTCTGATTGCTATAGGAGTAGATGCTTATTTTTTGAATAGTGACCTTGTGATTATGGGTGCCCAACTTGAGTCACTTTTAAAAATTTAGGCCTGTCTGAATTTGGTTAATTCATAAATATTAGTGGCTTAAATTTACAGCCTCCCTACAAAAGTTTAGGTACTTACAACAAATTAACTTATTTGGGGCCTATGACAAAATAGCTGGCTTAGTGTACCATGTAACTGCAATCACTTTTTTTTCCTAACTATGCTTTCTTTACAGCAGTATAGTCAGCTAAGTTCAGTACTTAAAGGTAAACCTATAAATAAATGCTTTTGGATAACACTGGAAAAGTGACTTTTGTGCTGGATGCCTTGCTAGTAAACTAACTTTCGTTGGATTCAAATGTAATGTTTTATATCTAAACCTTAAATCTAGCTTAACCTCCCCAAAAACTTTTATAAAGGGCAGAAATATGAAGCAGCTTGAAAAGTAAAGGATCAGCTTGCTTTTAATTAACTTTTGGAAGCAGATGGGCATCTGGAAGACTAACATTTGTGTGTTTGGGCAGTGAAATTGTCAGATAAAATGTTAAAATGATTTTTTTAAGTAAAATTATTAGCTAATGTATTGTTCAATGTCTTCCTGGTTGCTGTTACTTTTTTAGCAAGTTTTCAGGGTGTGTTTGTGAGGGACATTATCTAAACTCTTCTGTGCTGAGAAGGCTCTCCAGTGCCTGAATGGGGGATGGACCATCTTCATTAAAACCTTCCTACTACTTGATAAAACCTATCCTCTGCTGCTTTGAGTAGTGTCCCTATGCCTACTCACTCCACTGTAGGTGTGCTTGCATCCCTGTGCTGCTCATCAGAGGACTTTAGGAGCAGTATCTGTTGGGACCACAAATATGCTGTCTCTCCTCGTGCTGCACCACGAGGCTAGTCCGCACATGTGGGCTAATGCATCTCAGTTCCTTCTCAACTGCCCTTGGCTAGAGATGGAGCCATTAGCAGTTCATTAAGACTATTGTTTTAATCTACATACCTATAGTTAGTCTCCTAGTTATAGTTCTAGGGGTTCCCCCCATTTTTTTATTTTATCCTTTAAAAAAAAGGAATGACTTCATTTTTCTTCCCACCTTTTCCCCAAGACAGTATGCCTGTAAAGAGGCTATCCTCATCACAGATAAGTACACTCAGTCCACTTGTTGCCTCGGGGACAGCCACATACAACAAAAGTGTGGTCTTTGCCAACAACTCGGGCCAGGATCCCGCAAAGACAGAGCTCTGCCAGAAGATTATCTTCATCAAGGCAGCTCTCTGACCCTAGTTGGCTGGTCGATGCGAGTCCTCCCTACAACCTTCTGCATTTTAAGGGCTTTGGGTCAAAAAAGCAGACTACAAACCCTTTTCACAAATGATCTAAGCAGGAAGCTGCCATAGGGAGCACCGAGATAGTCATAAGTTATCACCATCTTGCTCAATATCACTGACACCAAGGCCATCTCAGTCTGGCACCCATGGCTCCCAGAGACCACCAGCAACAGGTATTGCTGGCAGGCCCATCGACCCGATGGGCACAGGCACTGACTCAGCACTAACAGACAGGAGTAAGCACTCCTCTAAAAAGCTGCTCCGGGTATGCAAGCCTGTGTCGGTACCATCAGTGACAGCTCAGCAGAACGAAGGACGTACCCTACATCTCACCTGGGGATTTTCTGCCTCAAGGCATAGCTCCTGCTTGGTTCCAAGACCTAGAAAGCTCCTGTTCAAGAAAGGTACAAGAGGATCTATCACACAGTAGAAAGTCCTTGACACAACATACATACCTGCAGAAATGGTCTAAGATTTCAGAATTGGTGCACATCCCAACAAATCTCCCCAGCATCCATGACTCTTCCACACATCCTAGACCAGTCATGCCCAAACTTTTACTCATGCACCCCCTTACCAGTAATGGAATATGTCTGCACCCACTGGAGAAGGGGCCGGCAGCTGGGTCAGGGCCATAGCTAGGGTGGGACTAGGGGCAGAGTAGGTCTGGGAGGGGGGGTGTTGCTGGCCCAGGCCCTACTGTGCCCCTCCAGGCATTCCTCCCGTGGGGAGGGGGTGCACGTCACAGTTTGGGGACCACTGTCCTAGACTATGCTCTAACCCAAAATGGTTCAGACTTCCTCTAAGCTCTCTGAGGATCTACCTAGTGGCTATTACAGCCTTTCACCAACCTGAAGAGGGTTACTCAGTGCTGTTGCACCCAACTACAAAAAGGTTCCTCAAGGGTATAGTAAACCTCTTCCATCAATCTCAACTTCCTACCCCCACATGGGACCTGATCCTTGTACTGAAAGGACTGACGAGGCCCACCCCTTTGAACCCATGGCTACCTGTTTGCTAACCTGGTGGGTTTTTTTATACCACTGGGAGAGCTGTCTCCCAGCGCTGGTGCCATGACTACACAGCCACGTGTAGCACTTTAATGTTGCTAGTGAAGATGTGCCCTTAGATAAGCTCCCTGTTTCACACTAGTCAAGTCGATTCACCTTCCAAACTTCTACCCCCAGCCTCATCCAGACGATAGGGATGCTATACTACATACTTAAGATGTCAGGAGAACCCTGGCCTTCTACCTGGACAGGACAAAGGCCTTTAGGAAGTCCCCTAAGCTTTTCCTCTCCATGGCGTAAAGCTCCAAGGTCTCAACAATATCAGCCCAAAGACTGTCCAAGTGGATCTCGAACTGTATCGAACATTGCTACCAAGTTCGCAGTGTGACCCCCTCCACATGCTATTCATACGCACTCCACAAGGTCAATCTTACCAGTCACCTTCTTTAAGAATATCCCTATCGTAGAGCTCTAGAGTGGCGTGCTGTGCATCAGTCCACGCTTTCACAAAACACTATGCAATCACTACAGACTCCGCCTCCGATGCCATCTTCGGCCCCATGGCACAGTCATCTGTAACTGACCTGACCCAGAAGTCCCGGCCCTCCAGAGGGGGTACTGCTCAGGAGTCCCCTACAGTGGAGCACCCATAGGACACTACTCGAAGAAGACGTTACTCACCTTGTGCAGTAACAATTGTTCTTCGAGATGTCTCCCCTATGGGTTCTCCATAACCCTCCTCCTCCCCACTACGTCAGAATTCTTGTCAATGACTCTGTAGTAGAGAAGGTACTGAGGGGAGTTAGCCCACATGCACTGACTAGCCTCATGCAGGTTCCTATATACATGTAAGGCCAAAACAATTGAGGACTTGAATTTCTCTGCATAGACTTTTAAAATGTCAGAGCACTTTGACCGTTGCTCTCAACCCAGATGCCCTACTTTTATGTAGAAACTATCTGATGTTTGGCTGTCAGCTTCCAGCCCCCAATTACAAATTATATCACTGCTAAAATAAAGGTAAAAGGCTCTAGCAAGATGGGGCCCTCTGCAAATGCAAAATACTGCCTTGCATCCACTACTTTTTCCTTCTCCAAGTGCTTATCTACATGTCTTCCACTCTGCATGTGCATATACCTCATGCACTCAAGATCAGAATCTTTTGGCCAGCACTATCCAGTGGGACCATACCTTTGCCTTGAGTGTCCTTGTTCACCTCCTACTGAGGGCATAAAGGGTAGAGCAAGGCCAACCAACTCAGTTCTATTTTTCCCCACCCATGGCTAAGAAATGGAACAAAGAGAAGTAACCCTGTGTTCAGAACCTGTGGTCCTTTATATATATATATATATATATATATCCATCCTCTTAGTTAGTTTCAGTTCAGGTGAACTCTTTTCCAGTTATTTGTTTAGCAGGTGTTGAGCTTTCTGGGTGACCAAAAATCACCCAAATGTAACAATTGTTCATCATATTAAGGTAGTTTAACCCCCTCAGTAATGGGTATTCAAAATGTTTGTTGTGTGTTGATAAAGGGCATGTCACTGAGCAATATTGTTTGTTTTCTAAACAAACTTTAGTGAGGAAAGCTCTTAAAACTTTTTCTTTACGATAAATCAGTGAGACCTTACTCAGACCTGGGCAAACAAGACCTTTCTGGCTTCAAGCAGTCCTCTAAAAATGGCCCAGCAAGTACTGGTTCTTTGATAAACTTCAGGGCACAAGAGCAAACTATCCCACTGCACAGGAAATATAGGAAGTATGGCAAGAGACCACTCTGGCTAAACCAGGAGATCTTCAATGATCTAAAACTCAGAAAAGAGTCCTACAAAAAGTGGAAACTTGGTCAAATTACAAAGGATGAATATAAACAAACAACACAAGTATGTCTGGAGAAAATTAGAAAAGCCAAGGCACAAAATGAGATCAAACTAGCTAGGAACATAAAAGGAAACAAGAAAACAGTCTACAAATAAATTAGAAGCAAGAGGAAGACCAAGGACAGAGTAGGCCCATTACTCAATGAGGGGGGGGAAAGACAATAACAGAAAATGTGGAAATGGCAGAGGTCTTAATGACTTCTTTTTTTTGACAGGTTTCAGTACCAGCCGTGTTAATCTGTATTGGCAAAAAGAAAAGGAGTACTTGTGGCACCTTAGACTAACCAATTTATTTGAGCATGAGCTTTCGTGAGCTACAGCTCACTTCATCGGATGCATACCGTGGAAACTGCAGAAGACATTATATACACACAGAGACCATGAAACAATACCTCCTCCCACCCCACTGTCCTGCTGGTAATAGCTTATCTAAAGTGATCATCAAGGTGGGCCATTTCCAGCACAAATCCAGGTTTTCTCACCCCCCCACCCCCATACACACACAAACTCACTCTCCTGCTGGCAATAGCTCATCCAAACTGACCACTCTCCAAGTTTAAATCCAGTTTAACCAGAACGTCGGGGGGGGGGGGGTAGGAAAAAACAAGGAGAAATAGGCTACCTTGCATAATGACTTAGCCACTCCCAGTCTCTATTTAATCCTAAATTAATAGTATCCAATTTGCAAATGAATTCCAATTCAGCAGTTTCTCGCTGGAGTCTGGATTTGAAGTCAAGATCCATAAACCTGGAAATCCTGGGCGCCCCATCATCTCAGGCATTGGCACCCTGACAGCAGGATTGTCTGGCTATGTAGACTCCCTCCTCAGGCCCTACGCTACCAGCACTCCCAGCTACCTTCGAGACACCACTGACTTCCTGAGGAAACTTCAATCCATCGGTGATCTTCCTGATAACACCATCCTGGCCACTATGGATGTAGAAGCCCTCTACACCAACATTCCACACAAAGATGGACTACAAGCCGTCAAGAACACTATCCCCGATAATGTCACGGCTAACCTGGTGGCTGAACTTTGTGACTTTGTCCTTACCCATAACTATTTTACATTTGGGGACAATGTATACC